ATTGTAACTATTCCAATAAAAACAATTGTTCAAAGTCTAGTAACAATACTTACTTTCTATTATAAAGTTGTACATTTTTTATAGGTTTAATTTTAGGCTTTTACAGTGTTTTGAATAATATGTGTACAATTTTTTAGCCTATTAATAACAAATCTGCATTTTGACAAATGAAAAATAAGGATTTCAAACCAAAATATGAATAGCTTTGGCTTCTTTTCAGTTATATTAAATATGAATATGTCATTTGACAGGTGCAGCAATTATTATGAAGTTGATTAGAGAGGAGAACAAATAGGCAATAGCAGGAGGCATGATGAAAAATTTTGAATTTTTTTACATTACTACTATTCTTCTATTTGATGGAATAAATTTAATAAAAAGCAGTAGACAATGTAAGTAATAATATCCTTCAAAAAAACACTCTCTTTCTATGTTTACAAAATCATTTATTTGAGTATGTAATCACTTTTTTTCTTACCTTTGTATGCTTTACTGAACATATGCTTTTGAAAGAAATTCAAGGACATAATATAGATACTATAACCAATATCAATGTTGAAGAATGTAAATTAAAGTGTATTGAAAATCTTAATTGCAAGTAAAATAATTTTTTTAAATCAATATTTAAAAATTTAGATTTTTATTTACTAATTTCTAAAACAAATATTTGTCAACTATTGTTCTAATTTTAGGAAAGATTATTTTTGGTTTAAGAAAGGAGAATTTAAAAGTGAAATATTATGAAATTTATATAAATCTATTCTCATCACATTTTTTTATGTTTTTTTTAAATAGATCAATTGACTACAAAATTACAGAAAACAAATGTTTTCTAAATTCATTTAATCACCACAAACGTCCTGACCTATTTAGACAGGATAATAGCTTTGAATACTATGGTCCAAAAGATGGGCAATGCGATAATATCAATGTCCCCACTAGATGTTCTGCAGTCTCCAATAGAAAATGTGGATCAGATTCTACTAGTCAGGCACATTGCATAACATTTGGGTGTTGTTATTCAAACAATAAATGTCACTATGACAACACATTTGTACCTGGTTTTGTACAAATATTAAGAAAAGCACAATTTACAACTTATTTAAAAGTTGATATTTCTGTAAGCTTAGAACAATGTTCTATGAAATGTTTATCATTGTCAAATTGTAGATGTTTCACCTATAATTTTCAAACTACTGCTTGTATTTTAAGTTCTGAAGTATGTAGGGCTCAAGTTGATTTTTTAGGTGAAACTGCCTCCTATGATAGAATTTCATTCAAATCAATAAGTTGTTTTTTATCAAATTGTAATCTTCTTGATCAATTTGCTGTACAACATCTTTATGGTTGTAGAGATATATGCAAATCTGATAGTAAATGTGAATTCTTTGTCTATAAAAATGATTTTCGTCCTAATTGTTGTTCAACTGTAGAAAATTTTAATTGCAATTTGCTTTCTGATTTACACAAATATGATAATTATGTAACCAGCTGCTTTGATGGACCAATACTTAAAGATACCAATCAGCAAAAGGATGAAAAATTGATAAAAATTACTGATAGTATAAATCCTGAAACTTGTATTGATATCAACCCAACAAAAGATTTTACCTTGAGAATACCATGGCCTTCTGTTGATCATTTAAATCCCGATTTTGAAATTGAAATTTCAGGATATCATTTCAAAAAATGTATAAATAAAGCAGAAGAATTACCTTTAGCTGGAATTTTGGCATAAGTTCCAGCAGATCATCAAGTTGACCCAAAATTTAATGAAAAATTTATTAGTTGGTCATTATTATCTGGTGATAATATATCAAATTGTAAATATTTCTGTAGTTGTAGATTACAATACTGTGAAGCAGTTTATATCAAAGCATTTCATGATTCAAGTGAAAATATGAAAGTTTGCCATTATCAAATAATCAATTTTTAAAGAAAAAGAGAAAAAAAACTCCCTGTTTCTTGTCTAATTAATGTTTCTCTGTAGTGTTAAATGATTAGACAAATAGTCTAACAATTAACATTGTTGTCTTTGAAATATTTTACCACTATTGAATATATTCTAATAAGTAAATATTGAGTGACTTTAATACACTTTCAAACAATTATATTATTTATGAATTATTATAGCTCTATCTAGCAGGTACACAAGGGTTTTACTCCTCCAGAAGTACTGATTTTGCTGATTCACTACTTTCCATACCAAGTCAGTCTGCTAGACAAATCAATTCACAGTACTGAAGAGCCTCCCTTAACCAGTGGCCAAATTGATTTACCTATTGGTCATAATCTAGGACAGGACCTTCTACATGCATATCTTAGTCCTATCAAGTGATATTCAACAAAAAATTACACTTTTGTTAAATACACTCTTGGATGGATTTGAACTACTTCCACCTATAATGAAACTACCCAATCAAATGTAACAAACTAGTTGTTTATAAATAATCAATACACAATTTATTTCATAAACCCAAAGTTGCATATTATAAAATGTTTTCTGCTAATAATATTAATATGAGTTTTTTGGTTGCCACCTACCTCTCAAGTTGTGTTTTCTTTTACCCTAACCCTAACCAAGCCCTTAGCTGTACCTAACCTTTTGCATTAGCCCTAACCCTTAGGGAAGACCCTCCTAAGTACAAATCAGTTGCTCTCTTCTTCTTCCTAACCATTTCTCAATCCAAATTTTTGTCTTGAAATTTCTCATTTATGGACGTTTTCTGTCGACCCCATTTGTCAGCTATACTCTACATTCATATCTACAGCAGTATTGCATACACAATACTGTTCTACATAATATGCATTAATCAGGTGTGCTTTCTCCTTATATACTGATGCTAAAGTTATTAACTCAATATTATTATTAAAGTAGAAAACAACAACAGTCAAATATGTATAATACTTATGTTTTCTTGATTGTTTAACTTGTCCTCTAAAAATTGTTACATTTTATGCAACTCTCCAACCTTCAAAATTCAACTATTACTTGGAAGAGAAAAACAAAAAAACATGACCATATTTAGAACTTTTCTTTGTCTTAAAATGTTACTTTTCCTTTTGTGAATATTGAAATTTGTAAACTATCAATCCTTAAAAATACAAATCTTTGACAAATATAAAATACTATTCTTACATTGTTAAGTAGTGTGCTTTCTAACTGAAGCAGAGTTAAAAAAAATAAAGGTAAATAAAAAGTAATGTTTTCCTGAGGGCTTGGAACAATTTTGTCCCATCTTTTATAAACTTTAAACAAAGTCATGCTGTTACGATAATTTCCTATATGTTTCAGAATCTCTTCCATCAAAAACACAAGAAGTAATAATAAATATGTCATTCTTTGTATGTAAAACATTTTGCTTATGTTTTTAAGTAGACAATGAATTTATTTGTATTGAAATATATTTAGTCAGTCATGTTGTCTTCAATCCATTGACAATAAAATAATAATACTTAAGCAAGTAACAATATGAGAGTTCAATAGCAGAGTAGATAGTTCGTAATAGCAGGTTGCCAAATTAACAAACTGTCTTCCAACATTGAGGAGTAGATGGATGGTTCCAGTGGAGGTTGTTTCCAGGTTATCTTCCCAGGTTGTTGAGTCCAGATAGGAATGCTTAGAATGAAAATAGTGAGGATTTATATACTTTGAGGTTTGTCTCTGACATCCAATCATCACTTTACAGTTGGTGAAATGTGTAGTTCATATTTATGTTTAGTAACAGGATGTTACAAGGTTGAACATTTAGAAGGTTAATTGAATTATAACTTGGCCACACCTTAGGAAAAGTTAATTAAATTAAAACTTGGCCAAACCTTTATTTGTAATTAAAGATGAGCCTTCAAGCTGATTAATCAAACCTCTTTTTGGCAATATAACCTTCAACAGAATGTCCACCAGGAGCTGTAACTGTTTCATCAATGTAATAGACTCCCTCTAAACTTGCAACAAAAAAATTCCTCTGTTTATCCCAAGCATTTCTTATATCAAATCTAAGATATTCAAACTTAATTGTTGACAAACTATTAAGTGAGCAGTTAAACACTGGTTTTCATCCAACATCAATACTAACTGCTGGTAGATAAGGATCTAATTTAAAGGCTATTAAATGCTGTTTCTTTTCCAATAGTACTACTAATAAAGCTATTAAAAGAAAACCACCAACTTACAATATCAGTGATTGGGTACACATAAGAAATGAAAACATTGGTCAAGGAATGAACAGAATAAATGAAAGCAAATGTAGTGGACCATATCTTGTAACTGCTACTGATACTACAAAATGTTTGTATGAATTAGAAATATTGGCAGATAAAGAAAATTCTATCATGCTAGTAGACATCCCAAAATAGACCTACATGAGTTGCTACATAACAAGTCTGTACATCAGCACCTGCTAATAAATAAAATATAACAATTTTCACATTCATTTTTTTGTTCTTTATTAATCTTCTTCTTTGAAAATAATTTTTGTAAATTTTAAACAATAAATTAGAGGTAATGAGGATGTGAATGTCAAATAAAGTCTTTCCTGTGTTCCTTTCCAAATTGAACACTAACAGCACGAGTAAGTTTCTGATTCCTTGTTCCATTTGAACATTTCCTTATCCTATAATTATACTAAAAACTTTTAATGCCTTTTATATGTGTGAGATATACCACATGAACTGTATTTTTAACCAATACTTTATCTATATATTTGTTTTCTTTTCCTTGTACCAGAGTTGACACTGATTTGATACAAAAAAGAATCTTGTTATTGATATAGATTACATCAAGTGAATAAACATAAAATATAAATCATTTTTTATCAAACTTCTAATTGATTTATATACAAATTTTGTATGAAAACGAAATTGATGATAATTGACTATATTTGAAATATTTCATTCAAAACATACTAAAGATTGTGGGAAATTATTAAAATCTCGCATCTGTAAACTTCAAAAATATTATATAAGGTGAAATAATTGTTCATTTAACAGAGAAACTTGCAGAGATGAAAGTTCTAGCTTTACTTGTTGTTGTAGCTGTTGCCATTGAGGCAAAACCACATGATCCTGTTCGTTTGACCACAGATGTTGGCTACATTGTTGGTGGAGAAAATGCTTCTCCTGGGGAATTTCCATGGCAAGTTTCTTTGCAAAGATGTTCTGGAGGATCCTGTTCTCACAATTGTGGAGCTGTTGTCATGAATGCAAATTGGGTTTTGACTGCTGCTCACTGTATCCAAAACCCAGTTCTCTCTTCTCACAGATTGGTCTTTGGTCTTCACACCCGAAGTGATGAAACTGGAACTCAAGCTAGAACTCCATCCATTGTTACACCTCACCCTGATTTTGTCAATGATGGAAGTTTAGGATTCCCTAATGATGTTGGTGTCATGAAATTTGATGAGGCTATCAACCTTTCTGGCAATGTTGCTGCTGCTACACTTGTTCCATCAAATGTTGGAACTTTGGCTGGACAAGCTTGTACTATTTCTGGTTGGGGTCGTACTGCTGGTGGAGCTCCTTTGGCCAACATTCTCCAAAAGGCAGAAACCCGTGTTCTCTCAACTGCTGAATGCCAAGCACAAGGAATTCCTCAAGCTGATGATGACATGCACATTTGCCTAAACAATGATGATCAAACCACTAATTCATGCAATGTAAGTTTTAAATACTAATGTGAACTTTCAACAAATGTACATATACTACTATTACAGGGTGATTCTGGTGGCCCATTGAACTGTCCAATTGGACCTAACAACTCTATGCAAATAGCTGGTATCACATCTTTTGGTATCATCTTCTGTCCACCAAGCAGACCAGCTGGATATGCCCGTGTTTCCTTTTACCGTCAATGGATTGAAGACAACATGACTGATTAAATATATTTCAAAATAAATAAATTCATTGTTGAAATATAAGGAAAAAGTTTTATAAGCAATGAATGCTATACTTATTATTACTTCTTGTGTTTTTGAGGGAAGAGATTCTGAAAGATATAGGAAAGTATGCTAATAGCATGACTTTGTTTAAAATTTATAAAAAGTAGGACAAAATTGTTCCATACTCTCAGGAAAACATTACTCTTCATCTATCTCTAATAGTATTACAATTCTGCCCCAGTACACTAATCAGTACACTACTTAATAATGTATCAATATTTTTTTATATGTGATTGTACACTTATTGACTAGTAGATATTTGGTGTTTATTGTGTAGTTACATTACAAGTAGATGGTACTAATATGACGAAAAAGAAATGTCACTGACAATTATAATGTCAAACTGTATTAGTATCTGCTCTTAATTTAGTAAGAACAAAATCAGAGGATGAAATTAGCAAAATATTCCAATCATATAAAACTAGTTTTGAAATCATTAAATTCGTCTATTTAAACAATGTGTTGATATTGATCATATTTTATAATATCTAATTCATTAGCAAAGTTGATATGCTTGTTTTGCCTTGTTAAAGTGCGTGGTTTATAGTCAAAGACTTGTTGGAACTGTTGGTGTTTTCTGCCAACATCATCTTTTATATCTAATTGCAGTAACTCAGTGAGCCTTACAACTTCCATTTTTGGTTCTTCAATTTCATTGCTGATTTTCATTCTGATTGACCTGGAAGCAGCTGTTTGGAATTTACAACCATTCTTTGTATAATTGATAAAACTTTTCCTTCCTGAAGATATTCAATTTTGAATCCTTTCAGCATCCAAAGGGCTCTTTTTTATTTTAAAGAGATATTGTGTTTGGTCACATTCCCCATATCTTATATCTTCTTGTGTTATGTGGTAGGCATGGTGTAGTATTGGATAATTGAAAATACAAGTCCTTTATATATTTGATGAGGAATTATTAAAAATATAAGGAAATGTTCAAATGGAACAAGGAATCTGACAAAATACTCGTACTTTTAATGTTCAATTTTAAAAGGAACATAGAAAAGACTTTATTTAACATTCACATCCTCTTTGTCTCTAATTTATTGTTTAAAGTTTACAAAAAAAATTATTTTTGAAGAAACAGATTAATAAACAACAAAAGGTGTAAGTGAAAATTGTTATATTATATTTATTAGCAGGTACAGACTTATTATGTAGCAACTCATATAGGTCTATGTTGGGATGTTATTGAAAAGGTCCAGAAATGTTGGCTTTTAACCTAACCTTAGCCCAGCCCTTGGGTTTGCTTAAAAAGTTTCATTAGTCCCAACCCTTGGATGGTATCCTCTTAAGTACAAATCATTGGCTATCTTTTCCCTGCAAACCATTTTTAAACCCAAAATTTAACCTTTAAAAATCTGTTTTGTGGATAGGGGTATAAGTATATGATAAATCTCATCTAAAAACTATTAGGGGTACTTTTTTTTTGCCCTTGGGTTGTATAAGCTGTCTTTCTATTGTTAGGTATAAAATCTGAGTTAGGAATGTTGAAATTTAAAAAAAAATTCATTTTTGTATACTATACACAGGTCATCCTTATATCTTGACATAAATGCCACCATTCACTTTTTACATGTGCCTCATATAGGCTCAATAATGTTGAGGCCTGGGTGTTAGCTGGACATGGATTCAATGTTTTGATATCCTGTCTTTTTAGGTAGTTCTTTGTCTTTGCTGATCTGGGACAAATAGGCCCACCACCCTGAAAATTGCCACACTATTATCACTTTGAACAATAGGGGTCCTCAATACTTCAATATAATCCAAATGTGCTTAGCTATGTCCCTATCTCCATTAAATTTGATGTAGCAAAAAACCATTGTACTAACTCCCTCAGATTTTACTGCTTTTGTTGTGTATTTGGGATCATTCTTTGTAACCAAAAGATACATTTTCTCTCTATATTGATGAGAAGAATATTATTAAATATGATAATGTCCTCATTTTGCTCTTTTAACTATGAAAGAGAACAATTGAAAAAAATATATTAATTTTTGAGGTAAATCATCATGTATCTTGATGTAATCATCTGGGAGGATCATTTGGAAAGAATCTCCACTGGAACAAGCCTTCTACTCATCAAGGCTGGACACTAGTTTGGTAATATGAAATATCTAGACTGCTACTGAACTTTCATATTGTTACTTGGTAAGTATTTTATTTGGAATAAACATTTATATTAAATATTTGTTCAAAGGTTTGAGTAGAAACAGTACTGTTGTAACTTGTAAAGGCATAAACTACCCAAGCAGTAGCAGTAAAATAACATAATTGAATTTTATTGAGACACCAAAACAGTTAATGGATATAGTAAATAATGATAAAGGCCAAGTTCCAAAATGGAAGGGTTATGTTATAAATGCAACAAATTCTGATCACTATTCTCCTGTAAAGGTAAGACGAAAAAGAAGACAGTTTGAAATATTGTGAAATGTTTCCTCTTCCTTCTAGATAATATTTAAAGTTTTAGTTTCAATTCAAAAATATTTTGATACATTTGATATCCTTTTTGGTGAAATTGCTGTTTCTAATGGTGAATGTAGCAATATAAAAGCTGGTAAATGTCAATTTCATCCTATTATCTCCAACTATTGCCAGCCATTTTTTAAAAAATTCTATTCTTATTTTTTATAGATTCAAAACAGAATGGTTTGGAAAAAAATTTTCCAGGTTTTACAATCAATAATCCCTTGGACCAGTATAAATAGAATCTTTTTTTCCATTAAAAACCTAAAAGAAAACTAAAATAACAATTTTTTATTTTTAAAAAGGAAAACTACTCCATATCTTCAAAGCTAATCAAGATTTATCTGCCAAATCAAATGAAAATTTTGATTTAACCTCACCAATTATTCTTTTTCAAAATAAAACAAACTGTATAGAGTTTTCTTTAAACTATTTTATAAATATTAAAATATTAGAAAGAAAAATTGGGGATAATAATTTTAAAGAGTAAAGATAATTTTTTTTATTTAAATTATCTTTTTGTGATATTTCATTTTTTTTGTAAATAGATTAGATCAAAGTACTTTTTGTCAAACAAATTTTAAATATGAAATTCCTGAAGAAATTGTTCAAGTAAGGTAAAAATTCTATTGATATTGATTGATACTGACCATTTTTTATATTTTTAACACAGTTTAAGTTAAGATTTAATGCAACCACATCTCTTGGTGTATTAACAGATATTGAAATTTTTAGTGGACCCTGTTCAAAAAATGGTTTTTGTTCAATTTTCTTTTCTATTTTTTTCAAAAAACAAAAAAATTAATTCATTTTGAATTCAGATGGTTATAATTGTAATTTTCAAAAGGGATTATGTTTATAAAAATATTTTTGTTTTTTAGATTCATTTCAGGTTAGAAAATGGATTTCAATACACAGCTTTTACTCACAAACCACGCCCTATTGCATACTTCAATCCAATAAAAGAAACTTTTGAGTACGAGATAAATAAAGAAATTATTATCTACAATCTTCCAAAAGAACCATTCCAGATAATCTTCAAGTATACTAATAATATAACATTTTTTATGGTTCCTACTTTTACAACAATTGAGGAAGTTGAAATCATGGATTGTCCAATAAAAAATTACCCAATTTCCAATTCATTTGATTGTAATTTTGAAGATAATTTATGTGGTTATACAATTACTGGCAGGTTGAAAAGTTCTTTTCAATGGTATCATAATTCAAGAAGTAACTATATATTTTTTTCTTAATACTCTTACATTAATAAGAGAACTTTACTATAATTAATCCTCTTATCCCCACTAGTTGGATATCTTCAACTAAGAAGTTTTTTGGGCAAAAGGGATGATGAAGCTTCAATTACCACTCCAAACTTTACTGAGGACATTATTGATAAATTTAAATATTTAGTATTTAGTTTTTACCTCAATCATTAAATTTGCCATCAAACTCATTTAAACAAAATATTACTATAACTATTATCAAGAATTTTATTAATAGTAATAAAGAAAGTCAAAGGTTTTGTTATTTCTATATTAAAAAAAAAATTCTAATAGATAATTTTTAAAACCATCTTTTTTTTTCAGTTTTATATTTGAACCTTCTACTTATTGTCAACAACAACAATACATTAAATTAGAACCTGGTTTAAAGAATGTAAATTATATAGGTCAATTACACTGAAAATGCTTGCCTCTCTTTTGAATATCTGCTATCGAAAAAAGCCAAAAATTTTGACGATTATCATTTCTTGTTAAAAAGATTTTGTTCTTTTCTTATCTAAGTTTAATTAATTTTTGCCATTTCAATATAATTTATAGATTTATGATGACTTCAAATTGGTTGATTTTCAACAAAAAACAAGTAATTTTCGTATTAGAGAACAAATAGATGTAAAAGGATTAACAATAGTTAGAATTTATTCATTTTAGTAAAAACATTGTTCCTTTTTTTCAATTTTTTTCATTTAGAAAATAAATTAAATTGTAATTTTGAACATGGACTTTGTGGTTATAAAATAACAACTGGATATAATTCTCAATTAGTACTTTATAAAGATGAAATTAAGGATATTTTCTCTGAAAAGAGTTTAGTAAAAAAATTTATTTTTCTTTCCAGTTCTTTTATTTTATGTATTGTAAAACATTTTTTATCACCAAAAGATTCAGTTTTAATTCTCAGAAAACAATATCATAAAAAGGCTAATCAATATTTAAATGAAATAAACATTTATTCGCCTTTTATTGAAAACAATGTTACTACAAAATGTTTTCAATTTGAATCATATCTTTACACATCAAGGAATGAACTTCCAGTTTTGAAAGGGATCAAAATTTTTGAAAAAATTAATAATTTTTGGAATTCAAGGTAAAATTGATAGAAAAAATAAAAAGATATTTAGAAAAGCTTTTTCATTTTTATAAACAGTTGTGAATCAACAATTAAAGAATGTTCCAAGATAGAAGTTTCAAAAGAGACTACTCAAATTAAACTGAACTTGGATGAAATTTC